TCTTGAATAAGCCGAAAACATTATCCCTCATTGAGGAGTTCGGAAACAGGAAGAGCTTTTTTTGTGCACACATTTTATAAATGGCACCTCATCTCATGTGCTCTCCTTATTTATCTGTTTGTACCGTATAACAGCACACATCTCATAGGAAGGTCTTAGCATGCTAGCTAAACTAGTGAATGAATAAATAAAAAAGAAACCTTCTGACTTATAGTGTCAGAAATGTTTGAGTAAAAGTTAAGTGATTAACTTTGAGCCCCCTAATGCCTTAAATTTGGATGTGATGACATCTGTATTTGTTTTTTGAGGCTATTGAATGTATTAGCATATTAACAAATACAAGCCCTCTGGCTGGCCCTGACATCTCCCAGGGTTTCCTGCAAAGTTAGTGGAACACCAGAGAAATACTTCTTCTGGTCTTGGGCAAGGCGGGTTTGCCAAGAGTTCTCCATCTGGAGTGAGGCCAATGATTGTGAGTCTTTCACTCCCTTGGAATTCTATCTCCTGCCCATTCAAAGAGTACGCCTGACAAAAGATGAGAGATATTAAGGACATTCAATTTATTTACTACTATAAATATTCTTTAGGAAATGACTTTAGTTTAATTCAAGCAAAAGATTTTTTCGTGATTAAAAAAAAAAAAGGTAGCAGTCACCAGAGGAGAACACTCTATGGTTATCTTGAACTTAAGGTGTGCTGAGAAAACAAACAAATAACAACACTCTTCTCAACTCCTAGTTATGGTTACAGGGCTAGCAGAAGAAAAAAGGAACTCCTCTGTGCTGCCTTTTCTGTTACATGTTCTTGCAGTGTTAAAACTGAACAATATATTTTGCTGACATACAGAGAAATGGATATGTACCTTGCATTATAGATCAGAACCTTATTTTTTTTTTAATTCAAAAGGCAGGAGGGTTTTGGCAGAACTTCAGGATAATTTATGTCCCAGCATTTGAGGGTGTCCCGGTCCTTTTTCCTAAAGGGCTCAGTGTTGGACGTGGATGTTTAGTGGACTGCAAGGCGTGACATGTGACACAGGGAAACGTCCTCCAGGGTTCAGTGTTCTCTATGTAAGACCACCATATGATGGGTAGTTCTTCACTGGGGTCACAAAACAGACTCTAATGCTGTAATCTACAAGAGCTCAGCTATTTCCCTCCTATACACTCTGCCAGTATAACTGAAGCGGTTTCACCTGTGACCATTGCAGTATTGTAAAACACACAGACTAAGACAGGGGGAAAGCGCATTAATTCTCATATTAAAAATATGAAACAAAATACAAACACAGATTAGTTTAAATCAACTCCTGAAAGAAAATGATCTTTTTTTTCTCTCCATTCACATTGTCTCTATGATGCTCTATCACCCAAAATTGATTAGTCTATGTGTGTCTTAGAAGCATCACCTCATCTTCTGGACCATTCTGATAGCAGTGCCAAACCCATTGATCACAGAGAATACTGGATGCTTCTCACCTATTTATCACAACTACTGCATGGTTACCGTCAGTTATGTTTGGTTGTGAAGTGCTTCCAACAGGTTCATGTGTTTGGATACTTGATTACCAGCTGGTGATGCTGTTTCCGGGGGTGACAGACAGAAGGCGGTGCCTAGCTGGGGGAAGGGAAGGCAGGCCTTGAAGATAATGGTCAGTCTTGCTTCCTGATCGGCACGTCTACCCACCCTTGCTGCAGACTCCTGAAGTTACTGACAGTGCAACAGCACCCATCATGATGGATGGCTCTCCCGACATTATGAGTCAAAACAAACCTCTCCTTCCCTTACGTTGCTTCTATCAGGGATTTTGTCACGGAGGTGAGAAAAGCAATCCATGTGTTATGACTGGAGAGTTTGTATTAAAACTACATTTTGTTTTTTTGAAAACTGGAAACACTGTTCCCTCACAGTGCCATAGGAGGACTTTGGAGTGACCAGATATGTATGGGAATGATATTGGTGAAAAAACAAGAACGAGGCCACTGTCATCATAGAACATGGGAAAGCATCTTAAAGGAAAAGATACGACTGGATTGAAAGCTAAGAACATTGTGATTAAGTTGCTGTTAGTATTTTTCAGAGAAATAGGAAGAAAATAAGAGAAGCACAATGAAAAATTTAAAAAAAAAAAGACTTCTTTAGAGTGCAGGGTGCTAAGGCATCTCTGCCTTTTCATATTGGGCTTTCCAGTTTAAAAATGTGTCCATTTAAAGGGGGAGACAACCCCTGGGAGAGATGTCAGCGAGTGTATAACACCAACAGCACATCTTTGCTTCCCTGGGATCAGTCTTATTCTTAGCTGTCAAAATAGAACACACTGCTCTAAACATGCGCGCTGCAGTGGGTGGCAGGAAGTGACATCATGCCTCCACACTGGAGCTCATTTGGGTAAGCATAAGTTTACTATTATAAGAAATAGAAACGAACATTTATTTTATTCTTTAGTTTCTCTTTTTGTACTCGCTTAAGTTACAATTGTAGTGAACAGGACTTCCTGATGCTTTGCATCTCATATTTAAAAAGCTCATAGTAGTGAAACTCCCTGCATTAGATATTCCGTGCTGGGGGTGAGAAAGCACAATACTTCCAGAATAGTCTCAGTTTCATATACCTATAAACGTCCGTGAGATATTTATAGGAGATTAGTCAAATATCTAGGGGCTTCTAATCTGCAGGAAGAGCTGGTGATAGAATTTACTCTACGGTTCTGTGAATTACTTGTTACCATAGGACAGTAGTCAACTGAGAACTCAACTTGAAATGATTCTGCAATATTATCAGCCGATATTGAGGGGACACTTAAGGCTTCACTTTGGAAAGTGATATAACTGATGTTTTTCAAATAAATGGGGAACTTCTAACCCTGTGGGTCGAATGCCGTGTATTTCCTGAGACAGTCCCTTCATTATCACTAATCTAGTTCTGCTTCTCTATTTATGGGGCGGGGTGCAAGCTGTGCTTTAACTATGCTTTGACTCTCTATTCACTTCCAGAAATAATTTAGAACTCAGGAAGAAACGGTATTGATTTCTTTTAAAGTTATTTTATGCCTGCGAGTGTTCCGCCTGCCTTTATGTGTGCGCACCAGTTGCATACCTGGTGCCCGTGGAGGGTGTTGGGCCCCTGGGAGCTGGAGTTGTAGATGGTTGTGGGCCACCGCGGGGGTGTTGGGAACTGTACCTGGGTCTTCTGCAAAAGCAGCAGGTCTCTTCACCACTAAGATATCTCTCCAGTACCGTATTTGTTTTAATGTTTTCCATCATACATTTGGTGTGATCTAAAACTTAAATCCCTCCCCCATGTTCAAGCACTGAAGGCTTGGTTGCCAGACTGTGGTACTTTTAGGAGGCGATGAATTCCTTAGAAAGTAGTGCTGAGTGCAAGTTTTGCAACTAAGGGTGAGCCCTAGAGGGGTTGATGGAACTCCAGTGCCCTCTCCCTGCTTCCCAGACATCATGCGCGAACAGATCTCTTCTGATGTACTTAGCTTTATCCACAGACCCCAATGCAATCGTGCTAAGTGAGCGTGGGCCAAAGCCCATGAAACCGTGAGCCACAATTACCCACCTCTCTGCTGTAAGTTACTCACGTCAGGTGTTTGGCTCGGTGATAGCATGCACTTAAAACGAAGACAGCATACACTCAAAACAAACGTGTCCCACTCAGCCTTTAGTGGCAAGTGTGAACACTGCTGTGTTCTTGTTAAAGGGCCAGGATGGGAGTTCTGTTGCAGAAATTCCATGACCCAGTTCTATCACCTGCCATGTGAAACCACAGCCCCCTCTCACTGTCTTTCCTAACTTCTACAGTGGTCTGACCAAAGCAGGTCATCTGGTTCTGAAATAGGCCCCGAAAAACCTCTTTGGGCAGCTGATTTTAAAAGCGCCTGTCTTCAGCTTGCAAATTTCGCACAACATCGTCATCGCGGAGACAATGATACACGCCGATCAAACTGAGCATGGACAACCCATGGCCGCTCTGGGTTGCAAAGTGACAGCTGCTGACTTTGGTTAGTAGGACGATGCTCTTATTGCGGCTGCTACCCCTACGGTGCCCACGATACACGTTTCAAAGCACCCGAACAGGGGGACCAGTCTTCAGTGTTAAGCTACGATTGTGTAAAGGTCAGCTCTGCACTTTCCCTCTTAATATTCAAGACACAGTAGAATCAGAGGTGGGGATGTCATATCCACACGGGGAGCTGAGGGTAAAAGCCCTTTGAAAACCCAGGCAGATCATGTAATTCCTGGAGTTTTCATCTGTCATGTGGCTGTCATGTACCCCGCAAAAAGCCTTAGCAGAATACCCAAGTCCTCGCTCCTCCACTAACATGCCAGAAAGAACTGGGTAAGCGACAGCCTCTTTGTGCTCAGGCCCTTCATCTGTGAAATGAGATTTGTCCAAGCACTCCGTAAGATGTCAGCCAGCTCCGAGGTTCTCGGATTCTCTGAGGAGGGAATTATGAGATAATGAGGCTACATTTCAGTTGCGGTTCATGACAGGGGCACCCTGTTTCACTGTAGCACACAACTGACCGGTCCATTTAGGCCGGTCATTGTTACTTTTCTACACTAGCCAAGAAACTCTTCAGTTTCTTTCCTGTCAGCTAAGGCGTCTTCGTGACACTCCAGAAACCACAGTCTCAGGTTGGATTGCAAAGAATCAAGTTTGACACATCTTCCCTTCCCACGCTGTATCAAATTACCCAGCACGCAAGCCGTCACAGCACATTTTGGAGCATCCATACAAACCATAACACGTAGAATGACGGGGTTAAATAAACGTTTTCTCATAAGATGCACTAGTCTTCCCTCTTCTGTTTACTTTCTAGTCAACTCTGCAGCCTTTACAGCTTTATTTAGGAACATAGTGTCGGATGAAGAAAAAAAATATAATGAATCTAGAAAATTATTTGGGAAAAGTAAAAAAAAAAAGTACAAAGGAAAAAAAAAACAGAACCCAAGCACAGAGAGAGTAATTGACAGTCACAGGGGGCTCACGGGTCAAAGGCGGCAAGCAGGAAGTTCAGCAGGAGGCTGATGGACTGCTCCACGTGGATCTGGTGAGTGGTTGGCATCCGTTTGTTGAGCTGGTAAAAAATGGTGGAGAGCACAGCCTCCAGGCGGGCCACGTTGAGCTCTGTGTTTGGATCCAGGTTGTTCAAAGCGTTCTCCCGCAGCGCCTCGATGACGTTCCAAATGTCCACCAGGTGCACTGCAATGGGAGCAGAGGGAACACATCAGCCCAGCGTGCAGGGGAGGGCAGCCTGCTCCTGGGCGCTACCCTGGCTTGTCCGCACTCCTGCCCCCACGCTCAGCGGCTGTGGGTCGCACAAGAGTAGAGATCCATCCCCCAGACTTGAAGACCGCTCACTCAGCAACAAATGACTTACTGGATGCCAAGTGCATCGGTTACTTTCTCATCGTTGTGGTAAAATCCCCAACGAAAGCAACTCCGGGAAGAAATGGTTTAAGGGTGCAGGCCGTGATGGTGGCTGGCCACGGTGCCTCCACAGTTGGGAAGGGGAGAGACCAGCGCTGCTGTTCTCTTCAGTTTCTCCATGCTGTTCAGTTTAGCACCGCAATCCTTCCCATCTCGGTTAACTGGACTAGCAACTCCTTCATCTACCTGTCTAGGTGTATCTCCTCCATGAGGCTAGGCCTGTTAAGCTGGCGATTAATATTAAACCATTACTCCCTGTGCCACACCCACCCTCAATCTGCGGGTCATTAGTTCTGTGTTACACGCAGCAAAACTGAGGGACAGGAAAGTTAACAGTCAGTGTAAGACTAGTCAGTGGCAAAACTGGTGGTCAAATTCTAGTCCACTGGGCTTTAAAAACTTTCCCCCCTGAACACAGTTACTGCTCAAAATGAGAAGAAAAAAAAAAAAAAAGATAAGAACCTAAGTTCTAATGCCTCCAGGAGATCAGAATCCTTTTTGAGTATGTAAAGTGAATTCATTTCCATTCACACACAGATGGACAGACAGACAGACACACACACACACACACACACACACACACATGCACACACAGGTTGTAATAAATGAGGGGGCAGTATCACTCTGACACACCAGTAGCCGTCACCACTGAAACTGTTTTTGGGTGCCCCTGAAATGCATTCTATGCAATTAGGTGACTGATTTTCTTGCTTTCTTTTACAAGTTTCCTGAACATTAAATAATAGGAATTCTATTTGTTCACCGGATGGTTCTACCCAGCATGTTTTAAGAGTCATCTATATTGGGCATGCATTGATAATTCACTCCTTTTGTGGTTCTCCTTCTGCCTGGGGGTTGTCTCTCACCGGCCCACAAAATCTGGACGGGCAGGAGATGAGGAGCAAGGCTGGAAAGGCCGGTGAGGGTGAGCATGAGCACAGAAGGAGATCAAACACTCCAGCATCCGCTTCAGGGAGTGAGTTTAGCTTTAATTCTGGAGAACAAAGGCTATATATCCCCCGGGGAGTGGGTGGGAGGCTCCAAGGATAGGTGTATGTAATTGATTAAAACAAGGCTCTTCAAGGAGGCTTGATTTGCATTAAACAGCACGCTCCCATCATATGAATGGGAGCACAGTAATTATCCTATAGGTGAAGGGAGGGGAGAGCTAGCAGGGAGCTGTGTCAAAGGCCGTATGTCAAATGTGGTTAGGGGCTTCTATGTTTTAGAGACACTCTCCAGATGAAGTCAGGTAGAGAGCAGGAGGCCCTCTCTCCTGGGGAAGAGTTCTGCACCTTAACTCTGCTGCTGAGCTCAGAATGCTTATCCCGACTGGGAGGACTGCAACCTCAAACAGCAGGTCCTTCCAACATCCTTTCATTGCTGAGTAATATTACCCTCTATGGAAATTTCACAGTTTGGCTCCTGACTCATCATCTCAGTGCATTTGAGTTGATCCAGGTTGTGGCTGAAACAAATAAAGCTTTATGAGTAATTGTATACAAGATTATGTATACTATGTATTATGTATATGTATAATTATGTGTTTCTGTTGTCTTATTAAATGCTTATAAATGAAAAGGTTGGACTGACTGTAGGCCAGTGTTTAACCGTGTTTGTTGTGTGTGTAGGGGGTGGAGGCTCATAGCCAGTCTTTTTTTGCATTATTTTATAATTTTATATTTATGCAATATTTTTGTAATTGTTTTATAAATTTATAATTAAAAAGATAATTCTAATTCTTTTCAAAAGATTTTTTTTGCTTGTATTTCATGCACATGGGTGTTTTGTCTACAGAAGTGTGTACACCAGGTACATGCGATGCCCATGAAGGCCAGAAAAGGGTGTTGGATCCCTGTAACTGGATGTTCACATGGTTGTGAGCTGCCATGTGGGATTTCTAAAGGAAATTCACGCCACGTGGCCTTCTAAAAGAGCAGCAACTCATCTTTCCAGCCCTGCTCTTATCCAAGTCAAACGAACATTGCAGAGCACTCCCAAGGAAGCAGCATTTATCAATGAAAGTCCCCCCCCCCCCCCCCCCGGGAGAGGGTATTTTTATTTTTGAATGCAGTATTTGTGGTTCCTGTCATTATAGCCTGCTCCTCAGACTGTAATTTCAAGATGGAAAGAGAATAGACATTAGATTGGGATGACTTCATTTTCAAACTGCAATATGACCTGTCACTTGCCTGCTGAGTAAAGTTCTTTCATAATTTCCCATTAATTTTAAATACAGACACGGCTTGCAAAGGCTTTTGTCTGCCTGAATGTGGCATGTCACAGGAAATAGTGACTTAATGTTCTGGGCAGATAAAACATCTAGATGTCATCTTGACATCACTTAAAGTGAATGACCTTAGTATGTGAGTTACCTTACATCCAGGCCCTTGATTCACTGAGAAGCAAAGCAGTGGGTCTAGCCAATTATAAGGATAGATAATCACAAACTCCGTAAGTAAAACTGGGTTTGTGATTACTACTAAGGTACTGTATGGCTCAAAGTTGTATAGTAAAAACAAACAAACAAACAAACAAATAAAAGTAGTTCCTACCTCAGTCTGCTGAGATCACAGTGTCACTCAATGACAAAAACAGTTTAAAACTCATGGCCTATGGCAAGAATCAAAGAGGTAGGCAGAGAATGGAAGTATGAGAGAGTTGTGGTGGAGCCAGAAGGACAAGTTTGGAATGAGCAGGATTTGGTTTTTGTGCCAAGGATGAAGACACAGGTTTTAAGACACAGGCCCAGCTTGAAAAGTAGCATTTCTGAGTCCAAGGGAAGAAAGAAATGGATATCGATAGACAAGAAACTGAAATAGCTAAAGCCTATTGCTGTGTTGCGGGTCTGGAACTCACTGTGAGGACCAGGCTGGCCCCAAAGTCAAATATCAAGCCACCGCGAGGAGTGTTGGGATTAAAGGCTCATGCCTCTATGCCCAGCCTAATCCAGACCATTTTAGAGTGAACATGCTCCTGACACCATGATCACACATTTCTTCTTAGTTGTTACTGTATCACAAAGCTTCTCTGGTTATTATTAAATATTTGCAGTGTTTATGGATGTTTAGCCTACATGTATATCTGTGTACCACATGTGTGCCTGGCACCCACAGAAGCCAGAAGAGGGTGTAGGATCCTCTAGGACCGGAAGAATACTCAGTTGTGAGTAGTCATGTGGGTGCTGGGAATTGAACCTGGTCCTCTGGAACAATAGCCAGTACTGTTAACTGCTGAGCCAACTCTCCAGTCCCATATTAATTACTGAGAGAGAAGTATCATCAGTCCTTTCCCAGTTTAAGTAGGAGCACTGAGAAATGTTAAGTTGGAATTCAATGGTAAATCAGCTGGAAGTCTGTTTCAGGCCTAAAGGTCATACCTGTGGGTTACTTACTGTTGTGACCTCAATTCTAGATAACAATTTACGATCTGCAGTCATGACAAACGACCACTAGATGGCACTGTGAACATTCTACGAAATAGCTATCACCCATTAAGGGCTCTTGAGAGCACCTGTTACTTGGCAAAAGGGAGAGGAAGTTGGGCCTCCTCATCTATGCAACTGCATGTGGTTTTATTACTGTATGTGGTAAGGCAGCATTGTGAATAACAGAAATCCCTACATTCAACATATCAAGAATGAACAAAAACATAGTCTTAAGGCAATTGTACTTCACATAATTGTAAAAGTATTAGTACTGATTTCAGCGATGAGTTATTTTTTTGATACTTTGCCTATTTTATTCTATTTATTTTTCTTTTTGATTATTTTATTTTATTTATTTTTTATAAATTACATTTTATTCACTTTGTATCCCAGCTGTAGCCCCTTCCCTAATCACCTCCCAACCCTACCCTCTCTCCCTCTTATCCTCCTATGACCCTCCCCAAGTCCACTGATAGGGGAGGTCCTCCTCCCCTTTCCTCTGACCCTAGCTTATCAGGTCTCATCAGGACTGGCTGTGTTGTCCTCCTCTGTGGCCTGGCAAGGCTGCTGTCCCATCAGGGGGAGATGATCAAAGAGCAGGCCACTGAGTTCACATCAGAGGCAGTCCCTGTTCCCCTTACTAGGGAGCCACTTGACAACCATACTCTTTAGAATACAAGAACCAAGGTGAGGTAACTGTTTTGATTAGTTTGCATGCTGGATTTGAAACAACAAAATGTGTTCTTTCATGTTCTACATTCTTGTTTGTTTGCTTGTTTGTGTTTTGTTTTGGGACAGGGTCTCATGTATTCCAAGGCATCGTCAAATTTTTATGTATGTAGCTGAGTATAAGGTTAAATTTCCTTGGATCCTCCTGCCTTTACCTCCTGAGTGCTGGGATTACGGGTGTGTGCCACCCAGCTAGTTCGTATGGGACTGAGGATCAGACTTAGGCTTTGTGCACGTTAATCAAGCACTCTGATAGTTGAGCTCCATTCCAGCCCTCACATTGCATATTCTAAACTTACGTGTGGGTTTGTAGAAAAGCAATTTATTCTGTTTCTTACATGTTTTGGCTTGAAACTAAAATATTACCACAGGCTCATGTTTTGAATACTCTGTGCTCATGACTTTGAAGGCTGTGGAGTCTTTAGGAGGTAGGGCTTGTCTGGCTGAAGTGGGTCAGTAGGAATGATTGGCTTCTGTGGCCAGAGGCACTGCTCCCTGCTTTTGCCACCACAACAGGGTGAAATCTCCCAAAACTGTGAGCCCAAATCAACCTTTTCTGCCTTAGTTTCTTTCTGTCAGATACTCTTTTACAGCATCAGAAAAGTAACTACAACAC